GACACCACCCGGTGCTGACCCACACAAGGATAGCATATTATGAAAACGTTTGCTGGCATTGACCAGGATGATTTTGTGCGCGTAAAATAGCCGATTCTCCACTTTGAAAACACAGTCAGACATATCTTTATTATTGACGTATTTGGCGTCAATACGGGCGCCGACCCTAACGTCCTGCCCATAACTGGCGCTTAACGGACGGCTCCGGAATGTCTCATTACGGCCGTAACACGTGCTCATTATATCGGCCAATAAGAGAGTTGTGGTGCCTGAGTTGTGCTGTAGAATTTATATCATGATAAAACAAAATGTTAATATTTTTTTGCACAATACAGTTAAACCCGGGTATCATTGGTTACCTTTTGGTGTCGGAATATTGTGAACAATAGGGGCAGACATTCGTCAATGAATTGTACGGTACAGTCGTCGGACCAGAGGTGGGAAAAGTCTTGTAATAATTGATCGGTAATGGCGTCCAAACGCATGCCGTGTGCTGTGCCTACTGTTGCCATCCATGTGTGCATTGTCCATGGGATGCCTATGAACATGGTAAATTTTATAAAATTATTAATTAATAATTATTGTTAACAGATTGTATTCTATTCTATTAATACAAATAAAATCAACAATAAATAACTAAATAAAATTTTGGGATGATTAACTACTAATATATAAATAAAACATTCTACTAACGAATATTGTTATAAATAATCTTGATAATATTTAATTTATGTAAAATAAACATAATAATTATACATAACAGTTAAATCATAGTAATCGGCATACATCGTTTCTCCATAAAATAAATAAGTTAATTTATCTTATTATATATTAAATGCATTATGATTTAATTTACAGCCTACGCCAAATAAAAAATATTCTCAATTATATTAAATAAATATAATTAATTTACGATTAATTATTGCTACATTAATACATGATAATAAGCTTACCAATATTTCTCAAATCCAGTGTAATCTCCAAACAGCCGGTCTCTGCCGAGTGATACATAGTTTCTTGAAGTGCCCTGAGCTTAGACTTGGTCAATTGGATCACTTTACTACCACCAGCGCTACCATTACTACCATTACTACTATTACCCTCATAAGAACCTCCCGATAGGGGCGCAGAACAGGCGCTTAAATCCATATTAACGCTGCACTGGCTTTGATTGGCTGCCACTACTTGTATGCGCGGCCGGCGTCGGGTGTCCACACTTCCGGTGCGAGTCTCGGCCAACATCTCCTCCAATGACAGCACATCTCGAC